GAGCGGTTCTTCCAGGGCGATTATCAGCCCAGCGTGCTCTGCAGGGGCGTTAGTAGCATCTTGCTACACAGACGCGAGACGGCCCACATCTCGCCCTGAAATAGACTCGTTTAGAGAACACAGATTAAACCACATCGTCTTGCAGTGGGAACAGGGCGGCGGGGCGTGGGGGCACGGCAAGTACAGCCCGTGTTTCTGAATTGGGTCTGGGCTGAGTGGTGGCTGCTGGACCCACAATGACGAAGTCTGGAGAATGTGACGGGTCACAGGGATCCGGAGGAGCTGAACGGGTGGGGTTTTAGAGGTGGTGGACTTGGAGGATCAGAGCGAGGTCTCAGTCCAAGCTTGGCCACCATTATTAACAGGGACTCAGCCTCTCTGAGCCTCAGACTACCCATGTGTATAATGGGGCTAGGAGCAGAACCGACACCTGCGGTGGCTGTGAGGCTAGAGGACAGGGCCGGCCAGCACCTTCCCGAGGGTGTGGGCAGTATGCGAGGCCTGCCCCTGGCGATGGCTGTGGCCGCTGCTGGTGTCTCTAGACCTCCTTCCCTGAGCTCAGGGTGCACCTGGAGGCCCGGGAGGCAAGGGTGACCTGCCCACTCCCCTTCCCTCCACCTGGATGGCAGCCAGACCCCCAACTCCGGAGCCCCTTCTCCTCTCACTGCACCCCCCAGGTCCCTCTACTGGGAATTTCAACACAGCTACCTGGGACCCTTTGGAGTGGGGTTTTGTCTGGGTCATGTGACTCTGTGGCAAGCTGCCCCTACCCTGCCTGAGTCAGGGCACCTACTGGCATGGTGTGCAGGGGTGAGAGGACCCAGCAGGACAGAGTCACCCTTAGAACAGCCCACAAGCTGAAACCTTCATCAGGAATGAGCTGGCTGGGCTCAGCGAGGTACGGGGGTGTGGAATGCCTGCACCCCACAGACAGCGAGGGCTTCTGCAGAGCAATGCTCTGAGCACTTCACATGTGCTGCTAAGGCCCCCCCATGGTGTAGAGGCTGCTGTTACCTCAACTTATAGGTGGAGGACAGTGGCTCAAGTATGACTGACTCCCCACACTGTGAGGATCGGGCAGGGCTGGGATTTGAACCCAGGCAGTGGGGCTCCAGAGTCTGGGCTCTTCATCACTTTGGGGGGTATGGAAGGATTTGGGGGATCAGTGAGGTCAGGAGGTGGGGCACAGAAAGTTCAGGGGGCACAGTGGTGGAAGGGAGAGGCCAGAATGGTGGTCCACAGAGGGCAGAGGCAGAGACCAAAGGTGAGGGTGACCCTCAGGGAGATGGGGAGCAGAGGCTCTTAGCCGGCTCGGGCTGCCCTAACCGTGCTCCAGTCAGGTGCTTAACACAGAAGCTTCTTTCTTAGAGTTCTGCAGCTGGAAGTCTGAGCGCCAGGTGTAGCCAGGGCTGGTCCCCCCAAGGCCTTGGCTCGGAGCAGACTCCTCCTCCGTCCTCCTGTGACCTCACAATGGTCCCCCCTCTGTGCGACTGTGTCCTGACCTCCTGTTCACAGACAGACACTGGTCACCGGACTGGTCACCGGTTTAGGGCCCACCCCTAATCCAAGTGACTTTGACCGGAGGACGAGACAGGCCGGCGCCTGCCCCAGGGTGCGGGCAGCATGCCGGGCCAGCCTCAGGCTGGCGAGGGCGGAGGCTGCTGTGTTGGATTTCTGAGCAGTTGGCGGGTCTCTAGTGACCTCACTTTAACTTAGTGACCTCTTTGAAGGCCCCTCATCCAAATGCAGTCTCTTCCGAGGTACTAGGATTGGGGCTTCAGCATGTGCAGCTTAGGGCCCACAGCAGCAGAGAAGGGGCAGAGGGGTGCCCACTGAAAGGACAGAGCTTCCTCAGGAGGGAGGTGAGGGACACGGGCAGCCTGGCAGTGCCATGGGAAGGAGAAGGGGCCCTGTTGGTGTCCCGCCCCCTGCCCGCTCAGAGCAGATGCCACCTCCAGTCTGTGGAATGTACTGGACAAACCAGCAGTGCCGAGGGCCCCATGGGGCAGCTGGGTCCGAGTTCACGAAAGGACCACAGGCCTTGTGGAGCACTGGCCCAGGACACTGAGGGGGAGGTCGGAGGCCACGTGTGGAAGCAGGTCCTCTCCCCGTGACCTCCGTGAGGCTGGCGAGGCAGACTACAGAGAGCCGGCCCAGAGGCCCTCCTTCTCCTCAGCAAGCACCAATGAGCTCCCTGGAGGCCCCATTCCAGTCCGCACCACTGGTACCTGTCCACGTCCGGACCCACACTGGACTCTCTCTGGAACGTCACCCTTGCCCTCCTCCCCATCCTCTCTCCCTCTGGCCACATCCTACCTCTCTGCCTTCCAGGACCAGGGGCAACCACCATGCAGCCCCTCCTCCTCCTGTGCCTGCTGCTCCTCAGCCCTCAGGCTGCCTCTCTGCGCCACCGTCACCACTCCCGGGAGGTGAAGAAGAAAGTCAAAGAGCCTCCCACAGAGGCCACAGTGGCCCCCAGCAGCAAGGACTTGGCCTTTGACCTCTACAGAGCCTTGGCATCGGCGGCCCCCACAGAGAACATCTTCTTCTCCCCTCTGAGCATCTCCACGAGCCTGGCCATGCTCTCTCTGGGGGCTCGGTCGGACACGAAGACGCAGATCCTGGAGGGCCTGGGCCTCAGCCTCCCAGAGGAAGAGCTCCACAGGCACTTCCAGCACCTCCTGCAGGAGCTCAGCCAGCCCCACGGCGGCTTCCAGCTGAGCCTCGGAAACGCCCTGTTCACAGACCCTGTGCTGGACGTGCAGCCCGCCTTCCTGAGCGCCCTGAAGACCCTGTACTTGGCAGATATTTTCCCCACCAACTTTGGGGACCCTGCAGAGGCCAAGAAGCAGATCAATGATTATGTGGCAAAGCAAACTCAGGGCAAGATCGGGAGCTTGATCGAGAACCTCGACAGTACTCAGATCATGGTCATGGTGAATTACATCTTCTTTAAAGGTGAGACTCTGGGCTCCGACCCAACCTTCTCTCCTTTCTCCTCCGCCTCCTTCACAGTGGGGAGGGGTAGGAGTGGACTCAGTGCTCCCTGGTGCCCGTTGGCAATGGTTGCAGACCCTGTAGGGAAGATGGTGCCCTCTTGCTGCCCGAGATGGTGTCAATGAACCCGGGGTGCTGTTTCCTCCACTGGGGAAGTGTTGGCATCTGTCTTTGGTCCCCTTGAGGCACCCCAAACTGCAGCTGCCACCATTCCTAAAGCACAAGTCCTTCACAGCCACCACGACAAAGAATGAATGTGACACCATGGCCTCTCGGGCAGGGTCATGGACTTTAGAGGGACTTCCAGCCCCTACCTCACCCCCAAGATTTTAGCCCTCTGTCCTTTGAGGGACTCTTGTTTCAGCCAAGACTTCCCCAGGCTAGCGCCTGTTCCTCAGAAGTTTCGTCTCCCTTGTCAGGAAGAGCCAGCCTGTCAACATTGCTCCCCAGTTTTTCGGTGACTACCGTTGCTCGAATCAGATCTTTCACCTGCTCCTCTTTCCAGATGCTGACCCCTCCTCGCTGAGTTTCTCTGAGGGTGAGAAGGGGAGGAAAGCAGGAGACGATGAAGGGGGAAAGTGTGGAGAAGGGAGGACAGGAAAGCAAGAGAGTCCAATCATTAAAGGCTTTCTGTCCATGCCCACAGATAATAAGAGCCTCACTCTCTCTGAGCTGCCGTAACAGACCCCACCGTCAGGGCAGTCCTACACAGACTATGCCAGTTCTAACAGCCACTGCAGTTCTGGAGGCTGCGAAGTCCAAGTCCAGGTGCTGACACCTTGGTGAGGACCAGCTTCCTGTTTCCCTGAGGATGCTTCTCCACTCTGTCCTCACATGGCAGAAGAGGCCTCTTTTTTTTTTTTTTGAGAGATTTTTGCTATAGGGTGCGTGCACTCACCATACAGAAGAGAGAGACAGAGAGACAGAAAGCGAGAAATCATCCCCCAGAGGGGATGGCCACATTGCAATCCCTTCTCCTCCTTTCTCCTCTCTGGATCTTGGGCACGCATGCACATGCGCCCAGCGTGAGTTTTAAGCCACCGGGTCCGGGATGCGAACCACGGTCGACTACATGGGAGTCCAGCGACATAGCCATTACTCTAACTGCTGGTCCCAAGAGGCCTCTTTTACTAGGGCACTGATTCCACCGTGAGACTGCCCAGGACCAAATCACCTCCCAGTGGCTCACCCCTGATATGGTACCTGAGAGGATTTCTCCATATGAATGGGGAGCATGATGCTCTTGCCCCTCAGTTCAGGCAATCCTCATACAAAGGCTGCAGAGGACCGCTGTGCAGTAAGCTAGGCAGGGCCAGGTGGATTCTTCTTTGAAGACCATTAAATTGGGAACAGTGACTTGGAATACTTTGATCAGAAGTTCCCACAGGAAATAGTCAGAGATAGGATAATCAGACTTTCCTAGAGCAAAAATCATACATTTCTGAGGCTAGCAGGTGGTGTGGTGGTTCAGGTGCCAGACTCCCACATGGCTGACTAGGGTGCCGGTCCCATACCCAGAGGTTTGAAAATCATGCCAGCTGCATGCGCATGCGCGTACAAAATCCTGAGAGGCAAATGGAGAGAAGGGCTTAGAGTGAGGCCTTCCCCCCAGCGGAGACTTCTCACCTTCCCCCTCCATCTCTCCAACGAACACATGCATCCTGTGACAAAAACCAAAAAATAAAAATAAAAATTCCCTAATTCCTTACAAACCTCTCTCCCAAGCTTAGATCGAAATCCAGTATTTGAAAAACAGTGAAGCACAGAACACCCAGGTGTCAGGTAGTCTTGGCCATCCATTTCCCCCCTTTTTATTGAATATTTAACCACGAGTGGCATCAGAGAGCAAAGAACACGTGGGGCCCAGGGCCTCTGAAGACATGGAAACCAGCTTCCTAGCTTTGCAAATGCAGAAGGAACAGCCCTAAGCGAAGTCCAGGCATGGACCTGCCCCGTAGTCTAGTGGTTAAAGGGAGCCAGATCCCACAATTGCGGTTTGAAACCCACACCTGGCAGCTTGAAAAACACACCAGATGCTTGTGTGTGAGTACCCCACATCCCAAAGGGAAGGAGAGATGGAGGAGAAGGAATTGCAGCATGGCCAAGCCCTGTAGGGGGAGCTCTCGCCCTCTCTCTGTTTCTCCCTGGTGAGTGCATGCGCCTTCTGGCAATTGGAAAATAGGCATATAACTGGAAAAAAAAAAAAGAAAGTCCAAGTACGCCCTGGTGAGTGCATGCGCCTTCTGGCAATTGAAAAATAGGCATATAACTGGAAAAAAAAAAAAAAGTCCAAGTACAATAAGTCCCTATAGTTCTACAGAGCGTGCCTTTATACCCAAGGGGTTCTGTGGTCACTGCCGGAGAAGCTGCCCCGGAGAGGACAATCTCTTGCCTGTCACCCGCTTACTGTCTCCACTTTTCGTTTGCGGCCGAGAATTTACAATTCTTACTGATCTCCTTCCATCCCCCCCATTTCCCCTCTAGCTGAATGGGAGACAGGCTTCAGCCCCAAAAGCACCCGAGAGCGGGACTTCCACGTGACCGCGGAGACGGCGGTGCAGGTGCCCATGATGCACGGTGAGGGCCAGTACTACTACGTGCTGGATGACAACCTCTCCTGTAGCGTGGTGGGGCTCCCCTACCACGGCAACGCCACCGCCGTGTTCGTGCTGCCTGACGAGGACAGGATGGCGCAGGTAGAGAAGGAGCTCACCGGAAAGACACTGAGGAAGTGGCTCAGGACGTTCAGGAAGAGGTACTCTTCAGACTCATGGGCTGACCTAATGCTACCCACCCTCTGGACGACACAGCTCCACCCTAAGGCCACTTGGCATTGGTGGAAGGACTTCCCAAGCCAAGGCTGCCTCCCAGGGGCATCCCAGGAAATCCTGGCTCAGCAGGAGGGACCAAGCCTGCATGCTGGGCTTCCCAGGGCAGCTCCAGGGTGGGCAGTGACCTCTGAGGGCCGCACAGATCCATGCCCAGTGCCAGGTGCTCCAGCCTAGATGGAGTGCAGAGAAGCATGAAGCCCAGGGGCCAGATGCTCTGGAGCAGTCTAAGAAAGGTCCTATTCTCTCTCCAGGAAGCTGGAGCTTTTCCTTCCAAAGTTCTCCATCGAGGGCTCCTATCAGCTGGAGCGTGTCCTCCCCAGGCTGGGCATCAGTGACGCCTTCACCTCCCACGCTGACCTGTCGGGCATCAACAACCACTCCAACATCCAGGTGTCCGAGGTGGGTCCGTACTCCTGAGCAGCCACCTCCTGAGACTCCTGATCCATCCATTCTGTCTGCCTCTGTCTGTCCCTCTGTCTGTCTCTCCCCTTCGCCCTCAAGAAGCAGAGGTTTCACTTTAGGTCTTAGCCTTCTTGGGTGGGAAGTCATATCACAGCTATGCTGGGGGGAGGGGGCCTGTACCAAGAGACCACAACCAAGACCCGGTGCTGGATCCTTCACTCACTGGCGAACACCTGGCCCTCTGAGCCGTCCTCCCCTCTATACGACTGGAGTGCACCTCACTCTAAGATGCCACCACATTTTGTGACAGACGTATGTGTCACTGTCTCAGTAAAAGACACGCATGCTGTCAGCCCGGGGCACGGCGCCTGGTGCAGAGCAGCTGCCCCACTGCCCATTTCCCACCTGTCACGGCTCGGCTACACAGGTATATTTTTAAAAGTTATTTATTTATTTCCTCTGAGAGAGAGAGCCAGAGTCAGAGAAAGGGAGAGAGGGCGCACCCCTAACGGGGTCTTCGTGCCATAACCCACCCCCCGCCTCCAGCAGCCCGGATCACAGGTGTGTGTGTGCACCTGACTCACTCAGGACCTCCCCACCTGGGCCCAGCTGTGTCCCCACCCGGCCCTCAATAACACGGATACTTGGACGGCGATGCTTGTGGGCGGGAGCCTTGCCATGTCCGGCGATGGCCTCTCCCAGCCCCTGGCGGCTGGGTGATGCCCGGTGCCTCCCTCCAGATGGTGCACAAAGCGATGGTGGAAGTGAATGAATCGGGAACCAAAGCGACTGCGGCCACGGGCTCAGTCTTCACCTTCCGGTCGGCCCAGCTGAGCTCTCTGAGGGTCGTCTTCAACAGGCCCTTCCTGATGTCCATTCTGGATAGCAACTTGAACATCCTCTTCCTTGGCAAAGTGACCAAGCCCTGAGTGGGGGCTTCTGGAATGCACAGGCGTCCATGGGGGCGGGGGGATGAGTATGCCATGGCCCTGTATCTGCTGGTCCTGGAGATTGCCCAGGTTGAGTTAACTAACGAGGCATCGCACATCTTAATAATAAGATTGAGATGCCAGCCATGGTTCCCTCTCCCACAACTGCAGGACGCAGGTGCCTTTGAGAATGTTCGGTCTTGTCCTCATCTTTCATCAACAGAGATTAACACTGAGGCTCAGAGAGGCTGGTTGACTTGTCTAACCTCACACAGCATATTAGTGGCACAGAGAGGCCCCGAGGCCAGGGTCTTGATGCCCAGCCTAATGCCACAAAGCCCTATAGGAGGGTTGTCCCAGGAGATGAGAGCCAAGGAAGCCCATTTCCAAGTCTGGTCCCCCACCCATCAGCAATACCAACTGTTAGTTTGTCATGGGTCAGGGAAATACTGGGGTTGGGGTCTGGAATGTGTGATTATTCTAGCCCTGACCAACTGTGTGACATTGGGGTAACACTGTCTCTCGCTGAACCTCGGTACCCCCATGTCTCCCAGGAAGGACCAGGGCAGAGATCCGATCCAAGGACCTTCGCCATCATGTAGAAAGGCTGGGGTGTCCCCCGCGATCATGGCTGGCTTCAGTACACTCGCGTGCCAGTTCACCCTTTAAGCACCATGGGTGGGCATGACCTCACGGGCGTGGCTGGGGTGGGAATAGGGGTCCTGTTGCAAATAGAATATTCCTTGTGGTCGCTCATGACTTACCTTCTGCATTTTGTGTTGGCAATAACAATAAAGCATTTTGCAAACATCAGAGGTCACTGTCTTCATAGACGCAGCTCTGGGCGTGGTGACGTCCCCAGCTTACCCAGACTTGGTGCTGCGCATTCCCTTGGACATGTATTTGCACCTCACAGCGTCCCTCTACTGAGGCCTGGCACCAGCACGATGCCCATTTCAGATGGGGAAGGCGTAGCTTGAAGGGAGGCGGCTCCCCTAGTCACCAAGTTCCCATGTGGGTGGCAGGATTTGACCAGGGACTGTGCCCAGAGCTGCACGCTCAGCCCCAGGCTCTGCTTTGGAGATGAAGTGACCAGAAGGCAGGGCCCTGCTCAGGGGCCCCTCAGCCACCAGCTCCACTGTGACCCAGGCAGGTTCTCTCCTCCCGTCCTTCACCAAGCCAGCATGTCTCCTCTCCGTCGAATGGAGGGGACCTGACATTTCAAAGAACTGATGCAAGAAGAAGCGAGTTAGCAGAGCGAGTTGAATCCTCCTTTACTCAGTCTCCAACTGGCCACCCCCAAGTCTGACCCTCTGAGCAGCTGCCTGCCCCCCTTGCCTGTTTTTAGCATGCTTTCTGTGAGGCTGTGCTGGCGTCTGGATGGCACGGTACATGGGTGACCACTAGACGTACCAAGGCCAGAACCCCATGTTTTGACCACTCCCCAAAGTACTGAGCACCAGCTCCACGCCAGCCCAGGCCGAGCACTTTGCACTTGTGATCTCACGTGACCTCCAGCCGCCCAGCGAGGTGTGTCTTGCCCATGTTACAGAGGACAGGTGTGCTCCCAGAGTGCCACCGCTGGGACGTTGGGGCCCAGGCTGAGATCCCCGGTGGCATATGAGTTGGCTGGCGGAAGCACAGATGCAATGGACCCGGACAGCTCATCTGCGGCTGTGCCGTTCGGGATCTGGCTTCTGAGTGGGAGGAGGGGCAGCCGGCTCCTGTGTACCTTTGTCTGGTCCGTCCGGGCACTTGTTTCTCCCCCTGTGTACCCAGCCGGGCCGAGGCCGGGGGGAGGCCCTGCCTGTGTGTCACATGCAAGGCCAAGGTCCAGTGCTGTCTAAAGTTCACCCAGCAAGCGGTCTCAAAGCAGTGCCTGGGTGCGGGACGGGCGGGCGCCAGTGTACCGAGCCCCTGCTGTGGGCCCAGTGAAGTGCCATGCCCAGGCTCCTCGCCGCTGGTCGTCACGGGCCTCACTGCTCAGATGCACAAACGTTGTAGCAGATTGGAAACATACGGAGAATGGGCTTTTTAATTATTGCCACACTGGGGCCAGCAGGTGGCTAGTGGTTGAGTGCTGGACTCCCACATGGCCAACTGAGGAGTCCCAGGCCCAGTGGTTTGAAAATCATGCCGGGAGCATGTGCGTGTGTGCCCAAAATCCTGAGAGGAGAATGGAGGAGAAGGGATTGCAGCGTGGCATCATCCCTCTGGGGGATGATTTCTCACTTTCCCTTTCTCTGTCTCTCTCTGGCAAGTGAACGTGCCCTGTGGCAAATCCTAATAAATAAATTAAATAAATAAATAAAATTGCCTCATAATAGCTAGACGCCGTTATGGGGCACAATGTGATGTTTCAATATGTCTCAATATGAATGTACGTCATGTAATGATCAAGTCAGGGTGATCGGCACCCCTCTTACGGTATCATCTCTGTGGTGCAAATATTCCCAAACTTCTCTTCTTTGCAAGATAAAACAGTGTTTTCCACAGTAGACACCCCACTGCGCAGTACAATGCCAGAACTTACCCTTCCTCTCGCACTGTGCTCACGGCCCTGTTGACCAACCTCTCTTCATTTTTCCCTAATCCCTCCCCTAACTCTGTTTAAAAACATTTTTAAAGTTTATTTATTCCTTGAACAAGAGAGACTCACCCTGCAGCGGTGCTGCAGGGTCTGGATTTCCTAACCCACCCTGGATTCAGCCAGCCCAGGACTGTGGGCCCATGCACATCCTAGCACTCAGCAAGGCCTTCAGACTTGAACCCAGAACCTTCTAGGTCAACCTCACAGAGTAGCAGGGATTTTTGCTGCACCACTATCCAGTCCTTTTTCCCATAACTTTTGGGAGGTCAAGAAAATTTTCACAGGGAAGGTGACAATGGGTTCATTTTCAAGAATGAGCAGGACTCTAACCGACAGCAGATCTGGAAACAGGTGTGGGACTTCCGGGCAGGGGAAAGAGCTCAAGAAGAGACTGAGAGTGCGGCTTGGAAATCTGGAGACTGCAGTCTACGCAGTGCAGGCATGTGAGTGAGAACAGGCGAAAGGAGGTGACATCCTGGTAGCTCACCGACAGCACCCTGCACGCAAGGCCCGAGTGTGGCCTATACTCTCTCACTCCTATTTCAGGGTAGTTGAGTTGTCTATAGCACACTCTGCCTGTCGCCCAGGCCCTTTCCTGTCCCTCCTCCTGTAGCACCTCACAGGTGCTCCACTCTACCCGCTAGGGGGCGCTCATGCTCACTCACACGTTCTTCAGAGCCCCACCGGCCTGGTCCGTGGATTGACCTCCCTTGGGTGCACTAAGGTAGCAGCTCTCTGGGGCTCCCACCCAGGTAGGAACAACTGCACTCAGCACCCCTCCTCTTAGCCACTGCCCACGCCACCCAGCCTGCCACTACAAAGTGTCAGAGAGTAGGTGGTTGAGCAAGGGAAACGGATTTGCCACGGCTCTGTAGATGCAGGTGCACGATGGAAGAAAGGTTGGTCTCCCCTGAGGCCCTGGCATGTCGATGGCCACCGTCTCCCCGCATCTTTCCTGGCGTGTGCCTGTGTCCAGACTTCCTCCCTGCACGAAGATGCCGGCCGAACTGGATTAGGGCTCACTCTAACACCTGGTCGTCATGCACTCACCTCTTCCAGGGTTCTGTGCCCAAATACAGTCACTTTTGGAAGTACGGGGAGTTAGGACTTCCACAGTGGAACTGGGCAGGGGAGAGGGGCACATTTCGGCCAGTAATAGCCACCCCTCTTTGAGTTCCTGCAGCCCTTGCCGGGTTTGTCCTTGATTTTAGGAAGCCCACTCTTAGTACCCCTGTAACCACATGGACTCTAGGGCCTCCCCATGTCAGCTACAACCAGAGCACAGAGGAACAAGGCAATGCCAGGTTCCAGGAACACACTCCTCTGTCCCCGCAGAGACCCCAAGGACAGCAATTGCAGGTGGTCTGTGCGGGACATGGCTCCCACCCCAGGGGTAGCCAGACCTCCCGCCCTGCCCGTGGCCATGGAACTCACTGAGCTTTCACACCGGGGCTATTCCTATGGCATGAATATTTCCCCAGAAATTCATGGACTGAAATTTGGTTGTGATGGAATTAAGAGCAAGAAAACTGAATCCAGCTATGGGATAAAGAGGTGGATTGGGGGGAAGTGATTAGAATGAAGGCCATCAGGAAGGGGTCCCCATGATTGAATCCCGGTGGGTTTATAAAAAGAGGAAGTGAGACGCACACAGATGCTGACACACGTGCTCTGCTCCGGGGGCTGTCACGTGATGCCCTGCGACACCATGGGACTCTGCAGAGGCCCATCAACAAGCAGACCGTCATCGATGTGGTCCCTTGAACTTGGACCTCCAAAACCTGGATCTCAATAGGTCTCTGCTCCTGATCAGTCACCCAGCGTGGCGTTCGATTGTTACCACAGAAGAGCTGACTACAACAGCTACTCACGGACACTTTCCAGGAACGGGTGTGGAGCTGGAGCAAGGCTGTCACAGTGAGCCCGCAGGCACGGGCCTGCCAACGACCAGGTAAGCACAGCACCTAATGGCAGGCCGTGGTGCAGGTGAGGCGTTTGTCTCAGATGTTTACTGAGTGCCTGCTGCGTGCTGGCGCTGGTCCGGGTGCTCGAGCTGCATGAAGAAAACCAGGCCCCACCATGGTGTTGCACAAGCCACAACAGTGCTTGGGAGGCTGAGGCCACATGGGAGGACCCAGTTAGTTCCTGAGCCAAGCTGAACATGCCGGGTGTGTCTGTGTGCGATCTTAGCCAATAGGGAGGTGGGGCAGGAGAATCACAACAGGGTGAGCCCCTGTCGGAGATATCTATTTCTGGCTCTCTTCTTTCTAATCTCCTCACGCTCAGAAAAAAAAAAAAAAAAAAAAGAAGCAACAAACAAAAGATCCCAGCCCTCATAGAGCTGACATTCTGACATCCTAGTGTGGAAAGACACTGAAATAAAAAATGTTAAAGAGGGCCCAACAGGTGGCACGGTGGTTAAAGGCACTGGACTCCCACATGGCCGACCACGGGTCAAGTCCCAGATCCGGTGACTTGCTTTTTAACTCCCTCAACCTCCGCCTCTCTCTAGTCAAACTGGGAAATAACAATAATAATGATGATGATGATGATAAAGTGAAATAAAATGATTCCTTAAAAAGAATAAAATAGAAAGGCAGACTCTATCATAGGTCATTGATGACAAGCGCTGTGGAGGGTGACTCATCTATGAGCAGGGCACAGGAAGTGAGAACAGTGACGAGGCAGCGAACAAAGCTGGCAGACTGCGCTGGCCAGGGGAGGCGTCGTGGTGGACCCCCAGATACAGTGTGATGAGCAGGGAGTGACACCTCCGTGGGGTCTCCTCCAGGCCCTATAACCTCGGAGTACTCATGAGAAAATAGCGGCCAGACCAGGTTGGGGACGTTCGACAAAATACCTGCTCAGCCCTCCTCATCAGTGTCAAGGTCATGAAAGGCCAAGAAATGCTGAAAATGTGCCCAGACCGGAGGAGACCAAGGAGACGCAGGGACTGGGAGCAGAGTGAGATCCCGGACGGACTTCCGGAGCAGCAAAGGCCATGGGTGGGAGAGCTGGTGATCTGCACACACGCCTGGACTGTTCGGTGTTTATTTCCTGAAACACACCGTGGTTGTGCGAGGGGTTTGCATTGACGTTAGGGGAAACTGGACGAAGCGTTTTCGGGAACTCTCTGTACTGTTTTTCTAAGAGTTTTGTAAATCCAAAAGTGTGTCCAAAACAGTTTGCTTATTTATTTTAATGTTCCAAAAATAAAAATGAAAAACAGAGAGAGGCATGGAAGTGGTTTGGGATTGCGAAGATGGAAGCAGGAGACTAATTAAGGTAGAAAATGAAGGCTAGGAGACACGACGTGGGGGCCTCTGCAGCTGGGTGCCTGGAGGGCCTCTGAGCTGGTGCCATGGCAGCTGAGACCTGAGGGACAGGCGGAGGTGGAGGGGGAGTGTGGGCATCAGGAAAACTCCCAGAGGAGGCAGAGTGTGCTACGGTTGTAAGGTTGAGGAGGTACACGTGGCTGAAGCTGGAGGCACCCCTTAATCAGCAAGAATGGCATGGTGCAGACGCTGGTGGCACTCAGAGGCCAGGGTCTGCCCTGCCCAAGTCCTTGTATGTGTTGGCTCAGTTAGGGGACAGGCAAACCCACGCTGGAAGGCAGCAGCTGCTGGGCTGGGGGACAGAGCCAGTGACGTGGCTGCCCCCTTCCAGCCTCCTACAGAGTCACTCCACAGGCTGACCATCTGCCACCCTTCCTGAAGACTGAGGGGTGCCAAGGTGGCCATAGCTTCAGACACAGGGGACAAGCCTTTTGGCTCCCTGGGAAATCCAGTCAGGAGTGTCCAAACACCCTTCCCCATGGCGATTTTCTGTAAAGACATACAGGGCACCGGTAATGAGGTACTCCTACACACGCTGCTATGCTCCCT